TTCCATATCTCTCCCTCCCTTTAGTTCTCCTTCCTTTCATATCTTCCAGCTACTATGTTAATTTGGAGATGTCTTAAGCAGGGGAACTGTGCTTGGCAGGAAGTGAAGGTTTATTTTTGACACGGAATTGAGGAAGACCTGTAATTATAGCTCTTTGGCCTGAGAGAATAAGTTAGGGAGAGATGAGGGGTGTTGGGAGACAGGAGGCAGTACTGTGATGCCCCCCCACCCCCCCATACCCACCTCAAGGGCATCATAATCAACAATTGTGAGGTAATTTCATTGGGGAGACTGAAAGGGATGGGGAGCGGAGGAAAGATGGGGGAATCGACTGACGATGAAAGTAGGGGAGCAACGGACATGGAATTGTGTACTGAAGAGAAAAGAAAAATGCCTGTGTTTCTTTCCTTCAATATATTTTGAGTGGTGGAGAAAAGGAGTTCTGGCTGTCTGGGTGGAGTAAAGAAAGAATGAGGATCAAGAGGTGAAAGCCAGGCCCACCCAGATTTCTAAAATAAGGATTGCTTGTTTCCCTCTGCTGCTCAAAATGCAAGTCTAGATTGTAAGTTTTTCAGGAATGATAACAGTGGATAAAATTAGAGATGGGCACATGGCAAATCTGGAGGAAGTCAAGAGGCTGAGGTTTGAGAGATCCCTCCACCCCCAGGGTTGTAGGATCTTTAAGTAATCTTAGGGGTGGTGGTGGAGGAGGAGGAGGAGGAGAAGAAAGGGGAAGGGTATCAAAAATGTCTGGGCAGAGGGGACGGGGCAGTCTTGCTGTGAAGATGAAACATTTTTTCTCTTATTTTCTTTTTTCTCAGAAGAGAAATAATAATAGCCTATACAGGGAATGAAACCCTCAGTTTCTCGAGAAAAAAAGGGCTTTGTGGGGGACTAAACGCGGTGCTTGTGTTCTGCTGTTGAGTTCTGTTGTGGCTGGAGAACCGAAGGGGGAAGATGCATTGGTCTTTGTCTGTTGGGGCATCGACTGTGAAGTGCAGCTGAGAGACCATGTAATGGGCATACAATATGCAGTGGGAGAAGATGAGGTCTGTATATTGCTGCGGGAGGAGATCTCCCATCACAGGACTAATTGTTGAAAGGGATCTCTGGTGGAAGCAAAGAAGCAATTGGGCGGGCAGGCTTCTATTTCTCTAGTGGGCACCGGGTTGGGCTTGAGTGGCTCTGAGATTGTATTTTGAAGTAAGGTTCTGCATCTTAACCTGCTCTCCTGTTGGGAGAAGGTAGGTTCCTCAGGCCCAAAGGGCTTAACGACTTCAGCAGTTGGAACTTGGTGTGAGGAAAGGCATTGGCCTGGTTTGAGCGCGTTGGGTTTGCTCAGTGAAAGAGAAAGTGTCCTTCTGTAGCTTGCGTTTGCAGGACGCAATAGAGTGGGTGCTCCTAGAGACACAAGATGAGTCATTGAGTCCTAGAGGTGCGGTTGCCACTGTGGCCTGTGTACTCGCAGGAGCACCTGACGCCGTGTATCTTTCAAAGTGGATTTGGGCCAGCTTCTACCGGTAACTCGGCGGATTCCCAAAACACAAAGCCATCTTGCTGATCAATACGGAACCATATCGGCTTGCCACCCAACCTTGTGAGTCACAGGCCAACGCGATGCAGATCTCTCCAGCTTGCATGCTTCTTGCCTGGGGCAGCAGTTCCCTTCTTAACTAATGGCTACCACAACAGGAAGTGCTCCAATTTAAAAACCTATCGCTTTTCCACTGAGAGGCAAAGCCTGAACAGCCTCGTGCCGAATAGAATTGTTCTTCTGGTTGACTTGATTTTGCTGGGAGTGGCGGCAAGTCACAAATCCTAAGCGTGAGAACTTGTTTTTGGCTTGCGTGCTCCAGAACCAATCAGAAATGTCTCTTAATGCTTGCAGAATTTGCAAGCCTTGAGTACCCGTATCGCAACGATGGTTTCACAGACTCACCCACAAGTTCTCTTTTTACTGGCTTGTGGGTCATTGCTATGCACAGCAGAAACACACCGTTGTGTTAGGAGGGTTGGAATAACCCCACAACCCTTTTAATGCTACCAGGGAACAATACATCTGATAAAAGAATCGAAACATATTAAAGAAAAGCCGCAGCACTTGCAGAGTTTCTGTAGCGGCAGCCTAAATCGAAACAAACCTAGCTGTCTATGATTTCATTTTTATATATATATATCGAACCCATGGCTTACTCTTCCAAGTGTTTCTTGAAGTCACTGAGATGACGCTTTGTGCCTCCTGGGCCAAGCTGTTTTTCATTAGAGGCCTTATCCACCTTCATTTGCTTTCTGTGCCCTCTGGCCAGGCTTTTGTTTCCTTGTTCCTTCCTTAGTGGCTGGCACTCTGGGAGCCGCTAACTTCAGATGGCCCGTTTGATTTCTGTTTTGCTTGCAAAGGAGGGATCGCTTAACCGCCATGCCAATTCAGCGTGGTGCCTCAAATGGAGCGGGCTTTCTTTCCTTCCGAGTGGTTGAGAAGATGGTTATTTTTTTTTTCCCTTCCTGGAGGTTTTATAAGGTGCCAAGGGGCTCTTCCCTTGTTTTGTGCGTTAGGCTCTACAATGCTGGCAGGAAAGCTAGCCTCACACACACACACACACACACACACACCCCGGAGGGGGGGGAAAAAAGGCACATTAATAAGGCTCAGGCCTGACCCGCTGCCGGTTGTGCATTTTTAGTCGCAGTTCCATAGCACAAAACATAACCATAAGGTGTAGGGGCTGCTCTATTTTTAGAGCGCTTGTGGGTGCTGTACTTGCTCCTTTTGGAAGAGGAGGTGAAGTGCCTCTTCTCTTCCAAAAAGCTGACTTAGCACTGGTGGGGCAGAGCCAGCAGCAGCAGCAGCCGAAGTGGGGGGCTGATTTCCAGGGACAGGCTTTGAACGGTGGCAAAAGGGGGAGGGGGAAGAGAGGTTTTGCGTGACGGTCCTTGCTTAAGCCCCCGTCTCCTCCCCGTTTCCCTCCTCGCCATGAAGGTTTGCCTTTTATCAAAAGGCTTGTTTTTCCTCGCTCAGCCACGTTTCTGCATCTCCCCCCCCCCCCCCCAAAAAAGAGGTTTTAATGAATTAAAAAGCCAGCAGGGGATAAAAATGGTCTTTGCGTGCACACACACTGTGCCGGTAGAACAGCGGGCACCCAAGAGGCATTCAGAAAGACCTTCCTACTGGAGAAGTGTTAAGCCTACTTGATCCGAAATGTTTGAGGACCGGGAGGCAACTGCAAGAAAAACCAGTTTCTGTGGGATTGAGGGCAGCGTTGGATTTTTAAAAAAAAAAAAAAAAAAAAAGTTGAGGCGTGGGTTGTAAAAAGGGGCACCTGTTGGAGGGCAAGTGGGCCCAGGAGAGTTAAAGAATGAAGTGGCTGCTTTCCAATATTTACGTGGCTTGACTTTGTACCTCGTATATAACCCCACTGCCCCCCTCCGCCCCCCAGAATCTTCCACTCCATTATCAAAGCTCCCCAAATTTTGGGCCCTACCCATTCAGACTACAGAAGGGACGCCACCCACTTAGGTCAGTCTTACAGGTAGATGGACGCAGGCATCCGTTTCTGTCGATTTAGGGGAAACTCTTGCTGGTACCCCAGTCCAAACTGATGGGAGAGCCCTTGGTGATGCTGGTGGGCTTGGCTCAGTTGTGGTGGTATTTTTAGTGGTTCCTGAAGTAGTAAAACTCTGGACTCCGGGCCCTCAGAGCATCCATGCCGTTAGAAGAGCTGGTACTTTCACGCCTCCTTGTTTGGTGTGCAATCACCGTTGAATTCTGCCGGGGTTTCTTTGCTTGCTAGCGGTTTTAACTGCCATTATATAAAAACCCTCCAAGGTTGACCGGAGAGCACCCCGAGGCCAGCCTTGCAGCCCTCCTTCCCCATATCTTGAGGGGCTAACCCCACACATTTTTATTTCCCCGAACACCTATAAAAAGCTTTAAAAAATCAGCAGGCTTCTCTTCTGATGTCGGAAAAGATGGTTAACCTTTAGCCACAAGAATAATTTGCAAAGAGCCACCAAGTGCAACGTTTCTCCCAAGTGGGCAAGAGAAATGGCATCCTTTGGAGAAGCAGGTGGTTGGTTTGGTTGGTTGGTTG